CGATTGGAATCTGAAGAATGGACGTGTGTTTATAATCAAAAGCTATTCAGAGGATGATATACACCGCTCCATTAAGTACTCTATCTGGTGTAGTACTGAACATGGTAATAAACGTTTGGATGCTGCTTACCGTTCCCTGAATGGAAAAGGTCCACTCTATTTACTCTTCAGTGTGAATGGTAGTGGACATTTTTGTGGAGTGGCTGAGATGAAGTCTGTTGTGGACTACAATGCATATGCTGGAGTCTGGTCTCAGGATAAGTGGAAGGGGAAGTTTGATGTTAAGTGGATCTTTGTCAAAGACGTTCCTAATAACCAGCTGCGGCACATTCGTTTGGAAAACAATGACAACAAACCAGTTACCAATTCGAGGGACACTCAAGAGGTACCCCTAGAAAAAGCGAAGCAAGTGCTTAAAATAATTGCTACTTTCAAGCATACCACCTCAATCTTTGATGACTTTGCACATTATGAAAAGCGTCAAGAGGAGGAGGAAGCCATGCGTAGGGTAAGAACCTAGCATTGTTACAGTAGTTTATTCTTAAGTTGTGTTTTTGGTACCTTCATTATTTTGTACAACTCGAGTTGCTTTTGTGAGTTGGAAGGGGAATATGTTGAGACAGATAGTAATAGTGTTTTGTGCCAAGCTGATCAGTATGTTTATAGTTGATATAACTGGTTCTTTTTGTTTAGTAATTCTTGTGGTTAGGAATTCATGTGTTACACTTATTAGTAGCATTCTACAAGTGTTATGTATAAGAAGATTTTTGAATTGCTTTACTTGTTTTTTACAATTAATAATAAAAAAAAAAAATTGAATGCAGTATTCCTAAATGAATCTTCTTGAACTTTTAACCGCATCTAGTGCCATAATAAAGCTAGGTATAACCCAAACAGTTATAAATCACAGGATTACAGGGGAGGTAGACAGCATTTAAAGTAATAACATATAATTATCGGGGGGAAAAAACAATCGTGATCTTAAAGATGCTAACACCAATGTTAGAATATATTTAGGTCAATGTGTTTTGTTTGTAGTAGTTATAAACTATGGAAGCAGTGCACTGATGGTTTGGACAGTGTCAGAAATATTTTTTATCTTTCTAATGGTGCTGTTGTCTTAGATATTTCAACCTGTTTTGTGCCTATAAAGAAGCATGTGCTTCATAGCAAAATCATTTAGCAGGAGTGCAGGGATGATATTCTAAATTTTATGCTTTCAAATCAGAATTTCAGGAAAATGAAGAAAATTGTTTAACTTAAAATTGCCTTTTCAAGTTAATCGGATTTGATCTGGGTATCTCCTTTTGTCCTGCAAGTAATACTTTTCTTCTCTTGCCTTTGGAACTCCGAGGAAAAATTGGCCTTGCCACCAAACAGCTTTTATTTTCTTAAGCTTCTGTCAGAGCTACATATACTGTAATTCATTCCATGGCTTTGAAAACCTCATCAGGTCTAGTCTGAGTCTTCCTTTCTGAATAATACCTGTAATCATTTATGCTCTTGCCTGTAACTTTTTTTTCTAATCGGTGCCATCTTGAACTTGGCATGATTACTGACAGTTTAATTGCTATCCACTGATTTCTAGATAAGAGTTGTGAGACTAACTAGTCTTGTTATTTAACTGTACTTCGTTTACCAAAGATTTTAAGTTAACAGTGGAGCTAATGAAGAAGACTGCAAGCAAAGATATGACATTTTAGTGGCTAACGCTTGTTTTTCACTTAGAAGAATTTCTTTGAACCCATTGGGTGTGTCTACATGAGAGCGTGTGTGCGTCTTGCAGCATCTCAGAGCTCTTTGAGACACTGCAAGAGGCATGTGCAGAATGATAAAACATTTCCCATTCTGCAAATTTGCAGCATGGGGGCAATATTAGACCCCTGGATATCCAGGGGTCAAAAAAACTGCAGGAGGAAAAAAGGGGGCAGTCCCAGATTGTGTCCTGAGGCAACTGGAGGCTGGGTGCTCCACTGAGATGCTCTGGTAGCTAGCCAGAGTGTCTCTATAGCTGGCCGTCACCCCGATGCTGAAGCACGCTGCCTGCCCGTGCAGAGCAGGCAGTGTGCCTGCCGCAGAGAGCTGGATCCAGGCTCCTGCTGGTAAGTAGGGGGACCCACCCCTCCCAAGCAGTCCCCCCACAATCTACCCACACCTACTCACATCCCCCCAGTGCACACCCTGCATCCCCAGCTGCCAGACAGGATGAGACCTGCTGCCAGGAGCTGTGGCTGCAGGTGCAGCTGTCCCCACATCCTGGTTAGCGAAGGGGTCACAGGGAGCTCTAACTGCTCTATGGTAAGAAAACCAAAGGCAAACAGCAAAACGTATAGGTATTTAGAATTAATTTTATTATGACGATAGAGACACTGGTAGGCTTCCTAATTGCTTTAACACTGTAGAGATATCAATAAAGCATTGCGCACATGATCTCTCTCTCTTGTGGTTTTTTGTTTGAATTGTGGAGGAACATGGCTTTGGGATTTTTTTTATTGGGGATTTTTCAGTTTGCAAATAGGGAACACCAAAATTCCTGCTTGGGAGGCAAGTGGCAGGACCCATGCAGAGGACCCTGCTCAGAGCTGGCACCTTGGACTTAGCTGGAGGTGGCTGGCCTCCTGACCAGTTGTGGCCAGGAGGACATGCTTTAACGGTTCAAAGCAGGACACCACACTGGGAACATCTGGGCGATAAGCTGCCCACATGGCCGGGCAGGGGGCACACATGGCAGTAGTGCCACACAAAGGCCAACTCTGCAGCCACAGTCCACTGGCAGCTGGCACAGAGGGGCAGATGCCTCTATTGGCTGTGCAGTCCCCATCCGAGTCTGGCAAATGTGCAGCAGATCACAACCAGGCAGCAGCCCCCACTGACAGACTGCTGCAGTGGGTGAAGGGTGCAGGGAACTCTCAGGGTTCCTTCAGCAGTCCAGCTGGCACAAGGCGTAATGTCCCCAGGTATCAACTGGCTGCGCCTCAGAAGGTCCTGAGAACAAGTAGCCCTGAGCTACTTGACAGGGCAGCTTTTTGTACTGCTGGGACCTGGACAGGTGCTGGCACCAGGCTGTAGCTCCCCCTGGCTGCAGATCTGGGGGGAGCCAGGCAGGGTTATTTTGCCCCAAGTGGCACAACTTACCTCACACCAAAGTGTACACTGAGGTGAAAAGCCCCGGCTAAAATTTGCATTGCTTCTGTTTGAGCTGCTGCAAGTGCATGTGCTTGCATGTGTGGATGCATGCTCACTGTGGCAACGCTTTTTTTTTTTTTTCCTGAATCAAAGCATAACTGTTTTAGCTTCCATCACATGCTAAGGCAAACTTCAAATTAATGAATGTTTCAGGCCATAATACACCATATTGCACATGGTCAGTGGTTGTGTGCATTTTGTCTTGTCTTAGATAGTATTTTCCTGTAGGCCAGCACAGTGTATCTTTGAGATTTAATTACATGGATTTTGTTGCACATCTTAGTAAGTCATCATGTGGAGAGAGTGACTTAATGATTGATGGAAATGGAGATCTCATATTCACAGAATATTGGTATGTCTGAAAAGTTTAGTTTCCTTTTTAAATGTAATTAATTCTCTAAATTAATGTTTTGCCAGTTTCATGAAACTTTCTGTTTTAAAATAGATTATTAATTTGGATAAACAATAATTAGACTTTTAACATATCTTGATTACATTTTCTGATAATGTTTCAGAAGTGTATAAGCTCTGCTTATAGATAGGTCACAAGTTTCTTAATTGGTTTAATGTTTCAGGATTTTTTTTTTTTTGCTTTTGTTGACCTATTCATTTTTAGAAGTGGAAACCATGTTGTGGGAGAAATTATAAAATATTTCCTTTTAAATTATTGTCTTTTAACAACCCAGGAAGATAAATAGTCTTGTTTTACATTTACCAATTTGGCTGTAATCTCTTTAGGGGAAAATGTTTAGTATCGATATAGCTGAAGCGCTGGCATCTGCATTTCTGAAGTTTTAAATAATTCAGTCGTCTGTCTTCTTCAATGGTATTTTAGTGAGAGTGGCTAATTGAGAGAAAACTAACAGAGCTAAATTATTTGTTGTGATGCTTTTTAAGCGTGTAATCTGCATTTGTTTTTATAGCCATTTACAAATAGCTTTGGACATGAGCACTTTAAAAACAAGCTGAGAACTGCCTAACAGCCCCACTGCTGCTTCAGTATGGATGCCTTTGAAATATGTCTAAAGTTTTAGTAAATGCTTCCTACATAATGGGAAGTTTATAGTGCAACTACAATGCTTGCAGAACTTGGGATCTTCAATTTTTACTCTTCTTACCTGTGCAGATTTCAATTTTGCCTTCAAATCCATCAGTAGCTTTTGCTTTGTATGTTTTTCTTTTGCCACCTTTAAGTTGTAAACTTAGAAGGCACTTAACTGTTTTAATTGGCAAACAGTTTCTGAAATCCAGTATTTCATATGCTAAATTTGTGGAGCTTATAGATAATTGGATAATCCTTTTGTCTCTTGTGACAGCTAGGTTTTACAGTCGGATCTAAATTGGGGTATTTTGTATTGCCAGTGTAGCCATATATTCTCTGTTTTATAGGTTGTGGACATGCCTATTTTCTATACCAGCTGGGATTTCTTTGTTTGCCAACATTCTTACCTGTCCTAAAAAATGCTGTTTCTTGCTGCTAATAAAATATTAAAAGCATGAAATGACAGTAGTCAATTATACATTTCTTGAAGTTCATTTAGGATTTTATGTGCACAGGTAATAAACTTACTTAAAGTCAGCGGTCTAAACATACCAAGCAGCAAATGAGTTATAGATTTAATTTACTTTATAACCGTTCGCCACTTCAACTAGCTTACCTCAGAGTAATTGGTTTTAAAAAATTAATCTAACAATTTGGGACGATCACTTTTCAATAAAGCTTGGCTTTCTTTTCCATTAAAATACAATGGCATATTTGCTAGAGTGCAGTGAGCACACTATAACTGGATTAAAGTGATCTTCTGAAAAAACTATGGTTAATTAAATTTTAAGTGGTTATTTACTATCTCTGTACACTAATTTGAATAAACTCTCCTTGATATAGTTAACCTTAGTTATTATTTGAGGTTCCTCATATCTCTTTATTTTTTCTCATGCTATTTTTCTGTTTCAAATGTAGAAGGGTGGCAACCCTAACATTTTGTCAAGGAGCAAAGATTTGTAGATGTATCATGCATGATGATCTGTAAGGTCATGTAGAATCTTGAGCCCTTAATGTAAACTATTAAACTACATGAAAATATGCTGGATTTTATACAAACCACTATGGGGTGGGGGGGTGTACACAGGGAACAGCCTTCCAACTAAAAATAATAGTAAAGTTATTTAGGAAACTTGATTGAATTAAAGGTTTCTGTTTCAAAAAATTCAAAAACAACACTTAATTCAACTATATGAAAAGAAACTCACTGTATGAATTTTTGTCCATTTAAATGTTCAGTTGCATATGTATAGCTAAAGGATTGAGTAGAAAGTCAAGTT